ACCTGTCTATACATCAATCTACCAACCCATCCACCCACCTATCCACACATACGTTCATCTTCAGCCATGAAGATGGAGGCAGAAAGACAACCTTAAGCCGCGAGAACCTCAAACCTGACATTTTTAATTTTTATAACCAACAGAATTGATTATGGAGAAAAATGTGTAACTGGTGTTCCATATTAATCGCATTTCCTCCAGACTGGACCAGATGCGGCGAGAATGTGAATCGGACTGGCAAGGATCGAGAGAGGGTCGAATGGCGAAGTTATGAGGTGGAAGTTCGAGTTCGATTTGTAGCACAGAGATAGTTACTAACATCAATTAAATGTATTCACCCAGACATCAGTTCTTAACTGCTATAAATAACAGCACACCATAAAATGATACAAAACTGGAAGACTAAATTAACCGTGGAGTCTCACACCACAAAATCCCACCTTTCATTTCTAGCTTAACACAACAGATTACAAAACTCAGACGCCCACTCATGAACATTTACTGGTGGGCACATAACAATGTACTCCACTTCACAATGCAGACCAATTAAGTCTCATTTCGCCCTCAGATTGCGCATTACTGTTGTGATGATGAATCGGTATATGTAACGTAATGTTATCTGCGGGCAGATCTGAATGTGGTCATTGCTGTGGGAAATACCGTCTCTATGACACAGCAGCTATTTATTTAGACGACTGTCGCCATGTTTGCAGATAACAAGGAACTACGGTGGGAACAGATGAGCCCCACGGAGTTAGGTCTCCCTCGGAATGTTAGATCTCGTAAGTCAAGATATTCCCCACAGGTTAATTACGGTGTTAGTAACAATCCGCTATCCATCTATATCCTCAGCTAGACGAATCTACTCTACACCCTCGTTCCAAACTTAGATCATGCACTTTTCGTCCATTCAATACGTGCTACACGTTCATCCCACTACACCATCTTTTATTCAACCATCCAAACATTATTAGGTGAAGAGTACAAGTTATGAAGCTCCTTAATATGTAGGATTCTCTATCCTCTGGCTATTTTCTCTCCAAATCCAGATATTCTACTCAGTAATTCGTTCCCAAACACCATAAATCTGCTGAAGGCGACCGTCTTCTGGGACGTAGCGCCGTGTAGTCTGGTACACACTGGAAGACGACTCAAAGTACGTACTACGTCCATAATCACGGTTCTACCAAACTATACAGTGCTACATTCCAGAAGGCAGACACCTTCATACTCGTCACTGTGAGAAATTGAAATCCCACATTAATCTTATTATTATTATTATCAACATCATCATCATTCATACGAGCTTCCAACTGAATTGACAATGAGTGTGGATTTCCAATCAGGGCCCATAGGAATTCTTTACTCCTGTATTCAATGGTTCAGGAGTGAAGGGGTTCATGGGAGAACACTAACACATGTACAAAACATTAAAACGTATATTTACGATGTAATAAATAAAAGAGCGACAAATAAATAATACAAATTATTTGGCAAGAAACCAATCGATCCAGGTACTGAGGCACCACGCAAATGATAAGCAAAACTTGCACACTTCCAGTTACAAACAGTTGGAGCGCTGAAATATCACGGCAACAGAAGTCAAATATATTAAACGGGCAACGTGCAGACGAACTTTCAGTGCGGGTAACCGAATCCATACTACAGAAACTCTGTGCGATAATTAATTCAGAACAGTTTTAGATCCGACAGAACCAAGTGAGATCAGCAGCAGTTGACGTTCGGGTGCGTTCCGGGACTGAGGGTGCCCCGATGACCCTGCTGGTACTCATCTCCATGGCTACTTTGATCCAGCACCGCTCCCAGAGCCGACAGTACATTTTGCCCGAAGAGATGTAAACTGGGATCGAACCTGGAGTCGTCAAATTGACAGATGATGGCCTGAGCAGCGACCACGGCGGTGGCGAACAGAACAGCGACCTGCAACGTGATCGCCCGTCCGTCTGAATAAACATCGTCTGCTTTTGCACAGTTCACTGGATTATATTAGGGGTCACACGCGCACGTTCAACCGCTATAAATTCAAATAGAAACATTACACCCCCCCCCCCAACCTAATTCCTGCCCGCACACGAGACACCAAGAATAAACGCTCTTGATTTGATCTCCACAGCCTCGTTTGTTATAACGGGGGCCACAGCGGAGGTGACGTCATTAGGGATCAGTGCGCATCCTGTCACTTCAACAGTTGATGCAGAGTCCGTCCAGCAGTAATACAGAAACGAAAGTTGGTTCAGTGTTTTATCAATTATCGTTAACTAACCGAGTAACAATCTAGAGAACATGAGTATAAAGGTAAATGACAAATATACAAAAAAATTAAAATTTAAGCTACACAAAGTTGTTTTAATTCAGATAAAACGGGAACCGCACTTCGAAATGAATGCTCTGAACTTATGTTCGAAGAATACGCGGTTTGGAATGATGCTTTCTGTGTGTTAACTCAGGGTCTACAGGCATATATCGGGACATCTCGACCACCTCCTTTCAATTTCTCACCGACTAAAAATTCATGATCACCTGCCAAATTTATTGGACGCTACATAACCTCCTCAGCAGACAAGCGACTCCAGCAAAGGGAATCACTTTGTTATGGGGAAGTTGTATCAGCGAGGCTACAAAGACTGAACGAATACAAGAAGTTTCAAAGATACGCAATGACACGCGCACGTAAGCACCGGGGTGAGCCACTTCAAATTTCTCACAAAGGGCACCTCGTTACCAAGAAAGGTGCGCATTATACAACATTAATATTTCTCTCAATCTACTGGGACAAAATAAAACTTAATCCTTCAAGGAAAGCACGGTCCTGATTGGCCCAAAACATTCTGTAGGCTTTCACAGGGAAATTAATTTAGGTTATGGAGCCCAAGTTTAATCACAACCCATGGATGGACCAACGTAAACAGTGCCTACGAATCCACTGAACAATTAAGAACAGCTCACCCACCTTGAAGGAAGCCATGACTCCAGTCGCTCGGCAGATGTTCTCTCAACAGCTGATAAAATTACGTTCTGTCCGGCGAGAGGCTGCCTGTACTATTTATATACCCCCTCCATAACGTCGCCCTTAGTGACCTCCGGAAATCATCGGAAGGTTACTGGAAGATTTCGTCACCATTAGGAAACTGCCCTCACACTGAGGCAAGGTTGTGTTCTACAACCTGCGGCCCGTCTGTCTCGTAGGGCACGGCAACTTCTGCCATGCCAGGTCTGTGGACCTGGTGTATATTTCCGCACTGTACAGGCACAATGGAGATGCTGGTGGTAATGTTCCGTACCGAAGATTTAGTTAGATACGTGTTAGAAAAGGATAGTTTCTTGTCGTAATTCGTCTATATGGAATTAAATATAATTGAACATTTCAAGCAATTATCTAAATCCAGCAACAACATCGCGAGGACGGACTCCAAGGTCCACACAAAATACTGGCACGCGAAGATACTGCAACTTTCCCAGAGTCTTGTTTTGATACGAACGACTGATATTCACGTCCATACTCGAGTCTCTTCCGACGCGACATAACATCTATAGCTGATACACAGTCGTTCAAAACTGTCTTTACTTTGATAATCCTAACAACGTTCCCTTTGCAACTGGAACAACTGCCACGTGACGAATCTCTGAATCCAAACACGATATTTACGAACGTAGTTTCCGATAGGCTTGCGCACGTTTATCTTAAAAATACTGGCGTCAAAGAACGCAGGATACCGATAATTTTATTGATTTTTAAATAAGGAAAACACGAAGCTCTTATTAAGCTCACTTTACACCACAACAAACTGAGAATAAAAATGAGACAAAGTCCAGCTCCTGGTAAAAAAAAGCGTCTTCATTACCTAAATATGACGGAGATTGCTTTCCTCTGGGCTCAGACGCCATGCGGTCTTGTACCTGGTTACGAACGTTTGGAAGAACGTATCGATAGTAAAAAGTGCCGCTTCACTCTAAAGAAAGAAGCGATATTTTCTTTCGAAACGATAGTAACCACCTACAAGACCACACGGGGTCAAAACCCGAAGATCACAGTCGAAAGTTTCGTTATTAGAGACTAAAACATCCGATATCCAAATACTTCACGAAGGTAATTCTGGGATATGTCAATACAGAAGTAGAGGGAAAAGACCACAATTTGTTACGAGAGTTTACGTGAAATTAATACTGATAACGGGGCAAAATTTACCGAGTCAAAAATTCAAACTGTTTTCAATACAAAATTCCCACATCACAACTCATATATAAAATTGGACTTCCCTTTTAGGGGTGATGACAATTTGATTCATTAGGCTGAGGATAGGGACCGCTGATGGGCGCTTGTAAACACAAAACCTTCAGTTTAAATACAAGAGGTGGATTTCTATACTATCTGAGTGACTACCAGCTTATCAAAATTATTCTGCTCCATTTAGTTAAATCGGAAACCTTAAACAGCACGATGGCGAACCTTCAACATGAACATCTTGTCATGACAACTGACCCACTGCTCCCGGGCTCGTGACATTCAAAGTGGCTGACGAGTGTGGATTAGAACACAGGTTTTCCATGATACAAATTTTTATACCGAGCGCTGGAAAGCAGCAACAGTTATCTAATTGCAGTGACCCCGCCCTTGGCATACATAGGTAGCCTTGCGGTGCAGGAAGTAGCTGCAGTTACGTGACGGCACACAAGCAGAAGAGCTCGATCTACAGAACGGCTCAAGACCCCAACCCCTAAAGTTCGACCGTTTCTGAGCAGGAGCGGTTAGAACGCTGGCCTTGTAATCCTCGGGGTCTCGGGTTCCATTGCAAGGCAACACGGAGTTTTCCTCCGGGGGCTTCCCCGGTTTCTCCGTGGCATCCCAACGATTACTCCATTCACACACAGAAGAAGGCAATGGCAAACCACTTCTGGATCATCTGCCAAGAACGTATATGAACAGGTCCCAGTCCGAGAAAAGGATGGAAGGATCCTGGTCATATGGACCTGTCCTCAGACAGAACACAACACTAAATAAATAAATAATAATCAAGGGGCGTGGCGCTCCGGGGGACATGAGAAATGCATACGAGATTTTGGCCTGGAGGGAAGGAGTCGTGAGCGTAAATCCGAAGAGGAATTGGGGCTGAATTCGGTTGTCTGAGCACAGTCAGTACGGTATGAAAATTACGTCTTGTGCTGAGTAAATACTACTATGACTACACAGAGCGACATAAAGATGGAATTCCTAAATTTCTGTTTGATTGTTTTCATGTTTTGACAGTGGTCGACTTTAAACACACTGACTTGCTTCCAAATATTTCGCTGATCTTACGTCACAAGCATCGTCGGAGAACGAACACATATACCTATATACCAATTTTATTTATAAATTTAAATATGAATACAAAGAGTGAGGAATCTGGTAAGCACACAGTTTCTTCCTTCGCTGATTCCGCCAATCCTGGAGCTGACACGACGTACGATGCGTATGGCGAGGTAAAGTTGGCGTGAGCCGCGTACAGTGAAAAAATACATGGCGCATAGACGTGGGAAGCTGCAGCCCTGACGATTACAGGACGGTGGTGTAGTTGATGGGTCGGATGACATTGGCCTCCACCCGGCTGTAGCTGCCTTGGGCGACGTCTCCGTTGCGGACCACGTGCTGTCCTTGATGTCCCTGGTGACGGGGTCTTGCACTGATTATCCGTAGCTGTATCGCGGATTTCGGTCGCAATCCGAGTCGATCACTGAGGACCTACTGCACATCACAGGGCGGTGTCAGATGAGTGCGAAGCGCTGCATTGGTAGGACGGATATTGGAAGTACACTAGCAGCAGTGCCACTTTGTCGACAACAAATCGCTCAGGAAATTCCCTGGAAATGAACCTGGCCAAGCGCGGTCAGATGCCTGATGATATTGTTCTGAACAGTTCAGTCTTCAGATAGCCACTTTAATGCCACCGTGCGTATGCACTGGATACAAATGTAACAGACCTATAAACCAGGAACTCTGAATACTCTGTGGGCTTGCAAAGCTCCTGGGCACATTAGCCACCGGCGTATTGGATGTTCTCCTAAGTCTGCCAAGCGAATGAGGAGATAGTACTTAAAGCAAAGAATTCCTACCACCTGACGCTCTAGTATAAATCACACACTTTGTCCCAAGAAGCATAAAGTAAGAACGTCATTTAGTAATCATAAGCTTAATGAACACAGATCAGACACTGAGTCAACATGTGAACAGTGCAGAGGTAAAGAAAGCGAGCAAGACAACTCCAACAACCGCAGCTTTGTGCGGAATGTCAGTAGCTGTACGACGCATGCGGGGCACTGAACGAAGTGTGTATCAGGCTGCCGCTGAGTTTCGGTAGCCGTGGCTTCGAAGCTGCCTTTTTCGGGGGATCCCGGTTGAAGTAGGACGGCAGAACCGGCCTGGCAGTGGTAGTTGGTTTCGGCGAAGTGGTGTACGCCGGCCGTTCCGAAGACTGCTGTACATTGAAGGCGGAGCGCAGCGAGCTGTTGACCACCCGGTCTCGCTCCACAATGGCGTTAAAACCGTTGCGAGGGTCGGCCGAGTAGCGGACTGTGCGTACCGACCCGTCGGGCTCTACGACACTGTAGCTGCCCTCCACGGCGTCGCCCTTACGCGTCTCCTCCTGCGTCTTGGAGTCGCCCGTCGCGAGGTCGGTCACGCGGTACGTGAACGAGTACTGTGGGTTTGAGTCGTAATCGGTGTCGGTTGACGACGGTCCATCGCCCTTCAGCGTGCCGGGCGACGCGAACAGGAGTTCAGCTTGGGCGCCTGCTACGAGCAGGGAGGTCAGAACCAGCAGCTGAAACGACCGAAGAGCTGTAGGGAGGACGTCGAGACCGTTCAACTGTCGAGTGTCTATCGCACAATTTGTCGGCTGAATTTAATGTTGGTTCTTACTGATCAAAAGTGACACATTACAATTTGCCTAAATTGAACAGTTTCTACCTTCTACTACAAGGGATCCTTATAAACATCACAATATTAAATAACAGACCATGCACTCGTACACACATAATTCTGACCAACTTTTAAATCTTTATCGAAACAAAAATACTTTATACCTAAGCAGAAAGAAGACGCCTATATACAGCTATGTAATCTGAAGTTATCTGACCTAACATCTGTAAAAATAAAACAAGTGGCTTCCCCACAATGATATTAGTTCCATTATAAAATCGCGTGTTCGAAACAGTTTCCGGTCTCTCTTCAAATTGCCCTTAAACGCAAAAAAATTGCCTGGGTACCTGAATACATTATCTACAACGAGTTCTTCAGGACATCTGGCGACGACCAACATAAATAACATACAGAAACACAAATAAAGCAAAACGACGCACGGCAACAGCTTGCACCTGGCAACGAACTGCAGACGATTCCTCGAAAAAATACTTATTTTTAACCCAACGACTGACACTGACGGATATAGCCGTCATCAGAAATAAATAATATACCACCGAATGGACGTTAATCTGAGCAAACACTTTCTATGGAATGAGCGCTAGATAAGAGCACAACCAAACGCCTACCTGCATTGTGGCCTGGATACTACGCTTCCGTTGTCTCGAGTCTGAGGCTGTGTGGCAGTCAACTGTTTAT